CTGGGATGAAGGATTACCAAGTTAGTTCAAATGAATGACCTTGACCAACTTTCAAAGGTCAAAGGGGTCAAATGTCATAAAATCTTCAAACGACTTCTTCTCAATAACCAAAAGGCCCAGGGTACTGATATTGGGCCTGTAGCATGCTGGGATGAAGGGCTACCAAGTTTGTTTAAATGAATGACATTGACCCACTTTCAAGGTCACTGGGGTCAGATGTCTTAAAATCTTCAAACAACTTCTTCTCAATAACCAAAAGGCCCAGGGTACTGATATTGGGCCTGTAGCATGCTGGGATGAAGGACTATCAAGTTTGTTCAACTGAATGACCTTGACCAACTTTCAAGGTCACAGGGGTCAAATGTCGTAAAATCTTCAAGCGACTTCTTTTCAATAAGCAAAAGGGCCAGGGTACTGAAATTGGGCCTGTAGCATGCTGGGATGAAGGATTACCATGTTAGTTCAAATGAATGACCTTGATCCACTTTCAACCTAATGTCCTTGTTCGACAATCATGGTCAGAGGCGTCATATGTTTAAATCTTTTAATAGGTTCTTATGAAATCTTAAGATTACAAGTGTTAGATTAATAACAGGTGAGCGATGCAGGCCCATTGGGCCTCTTGTTTTTTTAATGAGCAAATCTCCTGTTCATACTATTCATTCCAACAATCACTGTAAATGATTGAGAAATTGGCCAGTTAATGAATAAAACATGCATACTGTATTAATGCTCATTGATTTGATGTGAACAACAAGGGTATGGTCCATCAACAAGGGTACGGTCCAACAACAAGGGTTTGGTCCATCAACATGGGAACGGTTCATCAACAATTCTATGGTCCATCCACCAGGGTACGGTCCATCAACAAGGGTTTGGTCCATCAATAAGGGTACGGTTCATCAACAAGAGTACCATCCATCAACAAGGGTTTGGTCCATCAACATGGGAACGGTTCATCAACAATTCTATGGTCCATCCACCAGGGTACGGTCCATCAACAAGGGTTAGGTTCATCAAAAAGGGTACGGTTCATCAACAAGGGTACCATCCATCAACAAGGGTTTGGTCCATCAACATAGGAATGGTCCATCAACAAGGGTACAGTCCATCAACATAGGAACAGCCCATCAACAAGGGTTTGGTCCATCAACAAGGGTATGGTTCATCCACCAGGGTACGGTCCAACAACAAGGGTTTGGTCGATCAACATGGGAACGGTTCATCAACAAGGGTTTGGTCCATCATTAAGGGTACTGTCCATCAACAAGGGTACCATCCATCAACAAGGGTACGGTTCATCCACAAGGGTACGGTCCATCCACAAGGGTACGGTCCATCAACTTGGGAACGGTCCATCAACAAGGGTTTGGTCCATCAACAAGGGTACAGTCCATCAACAAGGGTACGGTCCAACAACAAGGGTTTGGTCCATCTACATGGGAACGGTTCATCAACAATTCTATGGTCCATCCACCAGGGTACGGTCCATCAACGAGGGTTTGGTCCATCAATAAGGGTACGGTTCATCAACCAGGGTACCATCCATCAACAAGGGTTTGGTCCATCAACATGGGAACGGTTCATCAACAAGTCTATGGTCAATCCACCAGGGTACGGTCCAACAACAAGGGTTTGGTCCATCTACATGGGAACGGTTCATCAACAAGTCTATGGTCCTTTCACCAGGGTACGGTCCATCAACAAGGGTTTGGTCCATCAATAAGGGTACGGTTCATCAACAAGGGTACCATCCATCAACAAGGGTTTGGTCCATCAACATGTGAATGGTTCATCAACAATTCTATGGTCCATCCACTAGGGTATGGTCCATCAACAAGGGTTTGGTCCAACAACAAGGGTACCATCCATCAACAAGGGTAGGTCCATCAACATGGGAACGGTCCATCAACAAGGGTACAGTCCATCAACATGGGAACGGTCCATCAACAAGGGTTTGGTCCATCAACAAGGGTATGGTCCATCCACCAGGGTACGGTCCATCAACAAGGGTTTGGTCCAATCACCAGGGTACGGTCCAACAACAAGGGTTTGGTTCATCAATAAGGGTACGGTCCATCAACAAGGGTATGGTTCATCAAAAAGGGTACGGTTCATCAACAAGGGTACCATCCATCAACAAGGGTTTGGTCCATCAACAACGAAACGGTCAACAACAGCCATCAACAACGAAACAGTCCATCAACATAGTAACGGTCCATCAACAAGGGTTTGGTCCATCAACAAGGGTATTGTTCATCCACCAGGGTACGGTCGAACAACAAGGGTTTGGTCCATCAACATGGG